AGTACACTTGTGTTCTGTTTCTGCACTGTTCGGTTCAATCTGTAGCTGGATTCTGGAATTCGCACTGTTGCGGATAGTCGCCAAGGCTCGTTTTCAGATGCATACACAATTCCCAGAAGTGCTTTCCTTCACTCAATTGGTAACGTTCTGTGCAGATAGAAACACCTAGGCAAGTGAAGCAAATTGCGGTCGCATCCCAATGGTGCCTGCGTAACATACACGTATTCATTCACACAATGTGACTCACCTAAATCATCCATTGACCCTACCAGGGCAGTCAACCCCGTTAGAGAGCGTGTGTTCACGAATTTGTGGTCTGGATGGCACCATCGAATTCGAACACCACAGTTCGGTAGCTTTCGTGAATGATACTCATTATGTCATCCATCACGACCCGATCGATTCTCGCTGATTAGGACTTCATCGTTCTAATTCTGACCACTTGAATAAGGCTCCGGCAGTTCTGTTCATCCAACAACTTATATAATTACATTGTCCGACTGGTCATATTCAATGGTGGCGTCATTACGCTGCTGACCTGATTCTCCCTGAGTGATTGGAAATCATCCATTTTCTTTTAAGCAAATAACAAATGTGCCCACATGAGGTGTCACACAACTGTGATTAGCTGTGGGTGTACGCGTGCACTGCCCGGCTGCGCGTGAACACAAAACTACACGCTCACCGGATTTTGAGTAACGGCGGTCGTCCACTGGAGCAAGTGGTCGACCTCCATAGATTACGTTGGTTTTGGGCATGTGTTACGCATGTCAGCACGACGAGCGATGTTCGCCGAGGCAGGTAGTGGATGGAAGAAAGCCAAGGGTGGTCAAGCTGAGATCTGGCATGAGGGTATGAAAACTCTAACCAGAAGTCTGGGTCACATAGGTCCCGTTGGGGTCTTCGAGATGATCACATCTGATGGTTAGAGACACTGAGTGATATGGCTGGGTGTCATGAACAGTGACGTTCGTGCATCTTGTCGATTTCTCTGCAAAATTAGTGCAATAAAATCCTAAATGTTCTCTGTAATCCTACTTTCAATCTTTCCAGTCTTTCTCCTTATGTTCATCCAAATGGGCAGCCAAAGACAACAACGAAAACCGGCGCACGATAGTGCATGATTAATGGTTGTGCAAACTGAACTGAATTGCGATACGCCTTAAATGCATCTTTCGGAACACTATGGTCTGAGGACAATCAACTAGAATACATTTACTAGTGAATTGTTGCGTAGGTTAGACGATAAATGCTTTTGATCGATTATCCTTCGTCACGGACAATCCTCCCCTGTTCCTCCAGTAAACCGAGAACTAACCAACTAACTGTCACAACAGATAGTTTAATAAACTCGGATTGATAATTCCGATCAGCCCTCGGTGTCAGCTGACTGACTGGCATATCGGTAACACCCTCCGAATGAGTGATCTAGAGTTCAAATCCCGAAAGGGGTAACAGGATATGCCGTACTTGTAAGCTCTAACAATAGCGAAATTCCAGTCTGGTGCTTTCTGAGTGTATGGCTGACCGGATGGGTCGAGGATTGCGCATGAAGATGAATTCAAAACAGGCATTTCCAGCGACGGCCCACATCTGAATGTAATATTTCCTACATTACCAATCAGGTTTTAAGTCTTCGTTTTTAGAACACGAACACTGGCTGATGAGAAAGTGTTCACTTCACCGAATTTCTCATTCGCCATTTACGCGCAACACTCAGAACAGTGACTTTTTGCCCGGGAGTGCATACGGCACAGAGAAAGACAACAAGGTGACAAATTACACATGGTTTACTGCAGATGACGTATCGGAAAGACCATTCAGGTAGTGACAATTCTTGTCGTTAGAAGCTGAACAGAGTGTGATATCGCTAGGGATGGCTCATTTCGTTAAATTTCATGCATCCAACTGGATCAAGCATACCTTGATGGGTGCGCCCCAACCCGGTACCTGGTTCCCAGCCTAGCTTTTGAAGCAGTTTGTGGCCGGAGTTGGTCTGCAAAATTGAACGGGAAGGAAGGAGATGAGCTTTCATGAACAGCTTCTGCTTTTAATTAAACAATAGTATGCAATACACGGGTGTATGATCCATCCACGAGATTGGATCTCCGATTTAGCATTGACCACTAATGTGAAAACTACCGCTAGGTAATTTTGGAGAGATTAGCGTCACTAAAATTCGTGCTACCCAAACTGTTGTCCCATACTCCGATCCGTTCATCGTTAATCAACTTTTGCGGTAAGCAGATTTCGCATTTATCCAATTGTGTTCGAGCTTTAGGCTATTTTTCATCCAAGTTCACCATAGAAGGCGGTGTTCATCAGATTTGCCCTCTTGTTTTTTCTATTCCGCTTTGCTATGAAATTTGATTCTGGAAACAACCCTGTCTTCGTACGAGGATAGCGGCTGTCAGGCGGCAGGCTGTCTGATCTGGTGTGGTGTAAACAGAAGACATCTGGAATTATTCGCGATTGAGAGAAAGAACTAGATAGATGGGAAAGAGGATAACAATAGATTGCCGGTGTTTGAACACTGCGGTTAAAATTGCACGAACCTGATGGGGGAATCGGATGAGCAATGCTGAAGTTAGGCGCCGAGTTTTAGGTAACCGCAGTCGTCAACCGGAGCAATTGGTCTCTATAGACGGCGCTGGTTTGGAGCGTGTTACGCATGTCACCAAATAGGTTGCCATGGCGCGCGATGTCTGCCGGGGCAGGTGGTAAAAAGCCAAGGGGTGGCCAAGCTCAGAGCTGGCACGAGGGTATGAAAACAGTGACTAGGAGACTCGGTCATATAGGTCGCGTTAAGTTCCCTGAATGTGAACCTCGGGATCATTGTAATCAATGTTTGAGACATTGAGTGATATGGCTGTGTCGTAAACAGTGGCGTTCATGCATCTCAATTTCTTTGTAACATTAATCTCTTCGACTCTGCGTCAGCTTTCCTGTCTTTCTCCTACTGTTTCATCCAAATAGGCAGCCCAAAGGCAACAATCAAAACCGCCGCACGGAAGTGCGCGGTTAATGGTTGTGTAAACTGACATTGTTCCAATAATTATTTTATGCTTATTTTTAATTAGAATCCGAACGTCTAGAGTACCAGTTCTCAAAGCCCAGTGGTTAGTTCATGTGAGAATGAATTATTTATCACATCGTAATGGCCTTGAGTAGGCAATGTAAAAATACAATATGATTACATTACATGTTTAGAAAAAAATCGAGAAATGACCGGAAAATAGGAAAAACGCGCAGTGATCATATTTTAGATTGCAATAACGACTAGGCCATAATGAAACGATTTAGAAGTAAGTTTTGGTTTCACATGCTAGAAAGTTTGCCACTTCCAAATTCATGAACAAAGTTTGACTGTCAAAGACGCACAGTGCAGTAGTCAACGGCAAAATGTCACACTAGATAGAATTCAGTAAAACTTCAACAACAAAACGGCTGTAAACTATGACGGTAATCATGACTACATCAAAAGTTTCCCCCATCCGGCAGAGATTACGCAACCCACCTGGGATATGGGTTCCGCGTTAGATTCCAATGGAGCACGGGATCCGAAGCCAGCACGAGTTGCATGTCCGTCTGGACTGGAGTCCATTGCTTGTAAGTTGAGATCGTCGGAAAGCGGTATCCTCATATTGTACCGCGTCTCGGCATTAACCCATGGTGGAGTGGGCAGGGTTTTACAGTTCTGCGCCCAAAGAAGACAAACAAGAACACGAGTGAGTAAGATAGCAAAATGGTGAGAGGAAAAGTGAGATGAGTTTTATACTACTTACCGATATGTTCGAACCGGCCTGATTAGTATGTACCTCGTTCAATCTGGAGGGGACGAAATCAATTCGATGTGGATCCACATCAGGGGCAGACGACCTGGTACAACGCGAGCCGGCCCAAGCCACTCCTTGTAGATAGTCTAAACGAGCACGATGACTTAGCAATGGCCACGTTCCCTGTTTGAATAAATGCAGAGAGACAATCACTTTGATTAAATTATATCATATCAGGCTTGTTGCGCCCAAAAGTATTATCATAACCGGCCAGGGCGATGGACGCTCAAAACGAACAGAAGAATGAAAGAAAAATTGTTTTCATGGGTTTACCGATATTTTCACAGCGTATACAAATTAGGGTTTTTGATTGGTCGATCGGGATTATTCTTTTAGCACAATACTACGATGCGGACCTCGATGACGGTTACCTATATGTGGATCGACTGTAGTTCCCGCGTTCTTGGGTAGGTTTAGGACGTGGATGATAAGAATTGTCCATTCAATGTAGAGTGAAGCAGCCCTTGAAGCTGAATCTGGTGTCGATTCGCTTTAGTTATGTGGTTGTAGTTGAAAATACACTGAACTTCTTAAAATGAACCAATGAGTCTATTGATCCTTTAATTCCGATGTGCAATACATAGATAAATAGTGATTACCTGCATAATTTCCTCCCACTCTGAGTCCATTTCTGTCGGATCGGGAGAACCTGAGGGGAATGTGGACGCGGTCAATTTCCACGCTGTCGGACAGTGTCGCGACGGATGATGACGACGAGAATGGCTGGTAGACCTAGCTGGACGAGGCACCGCGCCCCGGTATGAGCCTAAGGATGGAGCTTTTGGAACCGATGTACGACATCGTGGAGATAGGAATTCGTCGGTGGGAAAATCACTTTGTTCGTCATTCGCCAGGTCTGGAATAGAGTTTTGAACGAACATGGAAGCAAGCCAATAAGGGATCCGGTCAAACAAGCTCAAATCTAGCTACGATAAAAGCATACTTGGGAAATATCGAATGTAAAAAATTTAAAGTTATCACTCATTTTCACATAAGTGACTGAAAATCAATCCTCATTCTCTGTTGACCTTTTTAACATTCGAAATTGAATATGTGACAGGACACAGTAAATTCGACTGAAGTTGGTCTAACTGTATGATTTTTTTTTCAATACAAAGGACCTATCGAAATTGTGCTTAGGGGAGAAATAAATGTATTCTGAGGAGAACCAATTTTATTATCCAGAAACATAAAATGCGCAAATCAGCCGCATTTTCTGGTCGTAGGATGAAAATTTCCAATACTATTTGGCAACAAGCTTTGGTGCATGATAAACAAGTTGTCCGGTGGAATGTTACGGACGAGAAGGGAGAAAAAGGGGGACAGGATAGGGAAAACGGTGTTTATTTCGACAATGTGAATTAAAGTATTAAAAGGGACTCTGTTGGTTGATCATATGTGATGATATATATATATATATATATCTTTACGCCGGCTTGCGGACCCAACCGCTGCTGGTCTTACACATTCCCGCTAACTTAATGTATATTGTGAAGATGACAGCGATCAGAGAAGTTCCCTTTACTGTTATCTCAATTTTTCACAACCGCACGTCAATGTTTGCCTTCCTCCGAAAGCCTCAGTA